GGCTGCAGGGCGCAGCCCTCCTCAGCACCCGCCTGCCATTGGGAACGCCGCTCCGGATTCAAGCATGGGATGCGTGAGGGGGCGAATGGGACCGGCCGCCCAAGGACATCCCTCACCCTGCCGCTGAGCGTCCTGGCCAGGGCAGCGGCTTGCCCTGGTGGCCCTGGCAGCAACTCTGGTAGTCGGCTTGGCGACGACCACCGCGCGTCGCCCATCATATCAATGAAATGGTCTGCGTGGCTTCAATGTTGCCTCCGCTTTGGCAAGAACTACGTATGCGATGAGGTTGACTGGCCGCTGCACAGTCTGACCAAGGCACCTGCGGTACCGGTATCAAGGCGTGCCCACGATGCAATATCTCTTTCGCTGAGCCACAACCTGAACTCTGCATCTTTACGCATCGCTGCTTTCTCCAGTCTTCGTAGTGAAAGGAAGCAGCTGCCTTGATTACATGCATGCAGATCACGTGCAGCGGTCATGCCCTGAAGTACCTAGTTTTGCTGGTTGTGAAGCAACACTTGTACCACTATCGCAGCCAGCGACCCCACCAAAGGCGCAACACTCTTATCACAACACTCCAAGAGCAGCCGATCAGGACGCAGCGCCGCGAGGCGCATGATCACTAAACCTTGAATACATTGCACTTGAAAGTACGTCATGGGGCCGCCCGTGGGGCAGGCCCTGGAGTTCCTAAGCCAGGTGCTCTCGCAGCGCGGCCCTCAGGCGGTGCCCTATGCTGAAAATGTGAAGTGGAACATACGCGAGCATTTGTCGGATCTCTTGAAGGTGGGGCCAAGGCACGGCTCTGCATGCTGCGCTGTCGGCATGACGGGTGCTTCTGCTGCTGCTGCTGCAGCTGCGGGTCGCCGCTGCCCTTGGGAATCACACAGCAAGTCGGTGTTTCTGCCTTTGATCGCTCGTCTCACGGCACAATGGTGGTGTATCCAACAGCTGTGCCTGGGCCACACTGCGGCATGCTATTGCATGCCACCACCGCCATTGGGAGTGTGGATTTGCCCTAGGTTGTCTCCAGCTCCCCCGACCTATCTGGCACCCGCCCTTCCGCAGATGTTCCCGACCCTCACAATCTCTGCCAGCGAGTTTCACACCAACGACGGCAGGTGCGGCGCCGGCGGGCTGCCAGCCAGAGCTCGGGCACACGTTGGGAACCGGCTGAAGCGCACAGCAAAATCATGCTTATAAAGCGACAGGAGCAGCGCAGCCGTTGGCCGGCGCACGCGGCCAGCTGACCGCCCATCAACCCTGCCCGTACGCAAACGAAATTGACGCAGGGTGCTCAACCTGCTAAAGGCGCAGGGCACAGTGCCCGTCCACTTCCAGGTGGGAAGCTGCTGCGGCCGCTCCCCCCACTCCCACGAATGCTGGCCGAGTATGGCATGTCGGACCCAACAAGCCACCAGCCAGCCCCGAAACGCGCCGCAAACTGCACCTCGGCGCTGACCGCCCCCTCGCCCCCCGCAGGGCGTCAAGTACAACATCCCCGTCATCGTCTGGCTGCCCGAGCGCTACCCTGTTCACGCGCCCCTCGTTTACGTCACGCCCACCCCCAATATGGTCATCAAGCACAACCACTCGTGCGTGGACGCCTCAGGCCAGGTCAGCAGGCGCGGTGCCTCCCACGCAAATCCAAGCGCGCCTGCTTTATTCGTTTCGTCGCCCTGTCACCTTGGCTCACCCGGCCCCCTCCCACACGCACACGCGCTGCGCTGTAGTAATCGGGTTTGCATCACCCGGCCGACCCCCCTCCCCTCTTGCCGCGCCGCGCCCGCGCCTGCTTCCCCCAACCTCTTGTGACGGCAGGTGCGGACGCCTTACGTCAGCAGCTGGCTGTACCCCTCTTCTGATCTCTCCAGCATGACGCAGGAGATGTGCATGGTGTTTGGCGCGGAGCCGCCCCTGTATAGCAAGCCCGCCGGCTACAGCCCGCCGCCGCCGCCGCCAGGGCAGGCGCACATGCAGCACAACCTGCAGGCGGCGGCGGGCGTGGGTCCGGCGCAGCAGCAACAGCAGCAACAGCAGCAGCAGCAGCAGCAGCAACAGGCGTCGTACCCGCCCGTGGCGGGATTGAGTGGGGCGCAGCGGCCGGCGTCGCAGCAGCAGTACCCGGCGGCCGACGCTGCTGCTGGCGCGGCGCTGTGGGGCGGCGCATACGCAGCGGCCATGGCGGGGGGCCGGCCGGGCGCCGGCCCCAACGCAGGCAGTAGCGGCGGAGGCAGCGGCGGCGGCGTGGGGTTTGGGCCGCTGTCCAGCAACCCGTACCCGCTCCCTGGCAGCGGCGCCGGCGCCGGCAGCGGCGGCGGCGCGGGCTCGCCGACGCGGCCGGCGCGCGGGGTGCAGGCTGAGCTAGAGGATGCGTTTGCGTCGCTGGCGGTGCGGGCGCTGCAGGGGCGGCTGCAGGCGGGGCTGGAGGCGTTCAACCGGGAGGCGGCGCGCGAGATGGACTCCCTGCTGGAGGTGCAGCGGCAGCTGATGGCGCGGGAGCAGGAGCTGCAGCGTGCGGTGGGTCCGCATGCTGCGGCAGACGCGCGAGTCGCGCGGCAGGGCGGGGCGTGGAGGCTGACGAGCAGGGGGGTAGCTTGATGGGCGCGGTCTAGGGCCTGCGAGAGCAGCGGCCGGCCCTGACTGGGCTCCGCCGCGTTGATGCCGTCACACAAGGATTGCAGTCACCACCAGCGAGTCCCGCCCAGTCGCCTCGACCCGTCACCCACGCGCCACCCCCCCTCGCTGACCCCCAGGTGGGCTCGGTGCAGCAGGAGCGCGCCGGCACAGAGGGCGTCGTCGCAGAGCTGGGCGCCAAGTGCCGCGCCCTCGAAAAGTGGCTGGAGGGCAACGAATGGAAGGCCGCCGCGCTCGGCGCGTCGAGCGGCGGCGGCGCCGCGGCCGGGGACGCGGGCGCGGGCTCGGGCGCGGACGCGGCGGCGGCGCTGCTGTCGAAGCTGGACGTGAACAAAATGGTGGTGCCCGAGGACGACCTCAGCCGGCAGGCGCTGACCGCGCAGGCGGAGGACCTGGCGGTTGAGGACGCGCTGACTGTGCTGGACCGCGCGCTGCAGGGCGGCAAGGTGGCGGTGGACGCCTACATAAAGCAGGTGCGGGGGCGTGCGCGCTTCTCGAATGCTGAGTGTGTGTGGGTTGAGGTTGCGGGTGGGGGTGGGGTGTGGGTTGATGCCTTGGGGGAAAGTGCGTGCATGTGTGTGTCTATTTGCAGAACGACGGCACCAAAAGCGGGGGGTTGGCCGGACGCTGTGGCGAGGTTGCGTCATGCGTCCAATTGGGGACCGCGTGCTGCGCTGCGGGGCTGCTGCTGCGCCCATGTCCCTGCATTATCCTGAAACATCCCGCCCGCACGCCCTCTTGTGTCGCACCCCCTGCCCCGTGCCCTGCGCAGTCCCGCACGCTGTGCCGCACCCAGTTCTTTGTGCGCGCCCGGGGGCTGAAGATCGCGCAGCTGCAGCAGCAGGCCGCCGCCCGCGCGCCGCCACCGAATGGGGGCGCGAGGGGCGGCGGCGCCCCGCCGGCGGGGCCGGGCTACCCCATGGTGCAGGGCGACGGCTGGTCGCACACCGCGCCCGGGGGCGCCTCGTTCCACCAGCGCGGCGGCGCGCGGTGAGGGCGCTGCCCCGCGGCGAGCGCTGTACGTGCGGGTGCCTAAAATCAATAGCCCGCCTCAGCAGCTGCCTGTGCAGGAGCGCACGCACATTCGTCACATTGCCACGCGCTTTGCTTGCGTACCCTCTTTCAACGTTTTGTGTGACATTTTGCGTGTGTAATGTGTGTGCATCACATTCGGCTTCGAGCAGTTGCAGGACTCTTCTCCAATTGAAAAAAAGTCTATTGGGGAGAAAAGCGCCGGTCCTGGAACAGGAGCAGCCTAGCCTGGAATTGCACACGGCCTTGCAGAACTGTGTGTCATGATACTAACCAACAGTGCTTCCAGTTTGCTTTCTGCCTACTGTCACCTGCTGGTGGAAGTCAGCACTACGCCGCGTGTCAGCGTCGCTGCCCCCTGCCTGTGGGGTCACTCAGGCTTGCTTGACATTTCGGACTTCATTTCATATCGCATACATACTCACACCACACCCGCG